ATATTTACCCTAAATCTCATTAAATTCATTTGTACATGAATCAGTAAATTGAAGCTAACGAGGGGAAGATCTTATTTTGATTAAATCAATAGTTACATAATATTTCTCTTTTGTATTATTTTATTTAAATGACATTTTTATGTTTATATGATCTGCTGATAAAGTGAAATTTTAGAGATTATATCATAAAGTTTGTACAAGAATTTGTTAAGTTATATCTCAAATTGATCTTTAAGTTTAAAATATAAATTAACAGAAGAAATAAAGGTGTATAAAAGGTTGATTTCTTAGGCAAACCTATTACATTACTACAAAATCTTTTCTGAACACACAATTTTAAGCAAGTGTGTTGGAAATACAAACCACTCTATCTTAAATTCTTAGAACACTAAAGCCATTTTTAGCCATTATCGTGATTCTTCACAATCAATATTCTTTATACTTTTATTAATGTTCAGATTGACATGAACTGCACTGACAATAACAATATAATTTGTTTGTTCAGATAAAATATTGATGTTTTAAAGGTACTGAACATGAAACATATTATTTCTCTAACAAAATTATCTGCTTTGTACAACATGTCATATTAAAATTATATCTGCCAATTAGACTGATTGATCTTTTACATGCAACAGATAAATAGATTTTATTATGAAATAGTTCCAAGGTAAAAGCAATGTCCCAAACAAATAAGAATTCTTGTTCACATAAACAACTTTTGTTGAGCACTTTTGACAAAGACAGTTTTGGGAGTGAGAGTTTTCTGTTGATTCCATGATTAATGTTCAGGCTTGTGTTTTGTTTTGAATTTTTGTTTGTTTTGTTTTGTATTTCTATTTTTTTTTTAAATGATGATTGATTGTTTGTGTTTTATGCCACTTTCAGCACTATAGGCTATATCTTGGTGGTCAGTTTTTTATTGGTGGAGGAATCCAGAGTGCCTGGAAAGAACCACAACTTTTGGCAGAAAACTGACAATCCTAGTCGATCAAGATTGGAGGTGAATACACCTGCCAAGTGAGGGGTTCATAACTTTACTGTTGACAGGCTAGTGATACAGTAAATGAACTACTTAGACCACTCAGCCAACGAGGCCCTTTGTTTTGCTACTAATTCAATACGTCTGTAATTTCTTTAAAATATTTTGCTGAAAAACTGATATTCACAATGGTTTGTAAGTTTCTTTGCATGTACATGCAGTCTCAATTCATCTATTCCTGTTTGTACATATTCAATATAATTCATTAATGGTTCTCAGAGAATTTTTAGCATTTTTTATGCTCCAATTCATGTCAACAAGAAAAATATCTTTCAATATGATGCTGAGTGACAGCTATGTGTTAAAATTCACTGTATGCTCAGTTATAACATTAACGATCATTAACAGTACCAATTTAACTGCACCAGATGTCCTCTTGAAAAATAATGTCAATTGGCGATTTGATATTTTCAAGAAGTTTTTGGCCGATTTTATGTGCTTTCTATACAAATTTTCATCTATTTTGAAAAGGTTGAATCAGTAATATTTCAAAAAATAAAAGAGATAAATGCATTATTTTTTACCTTTCAGTTAATGTTCTACAAGCCAAAGTTCTACATGTTCTATACAAAATTTTACCAAAATCTGTGACATAGCCCAAATTTACTCTTCCTTGACCTTAAGGGTACCAGTACTCCAACTGTCCAGTATTATTGAGGCATTAACTAAACAGTCCATACAGACCAACTGTGTTGATGCATCAAATTAAGTTGTGACTTCTAACCTTATTAGGCCCATTATAAAAGCTGTGAAGTATTAACAGCTGTAGGAAGTCTATCTGATACTAAAGCAATACAATAAGTTTTTATTAAAAATTGTACACTTCAATTTAAATCCTGTTTTTCCCATAATGTAAGCTTATAGCTTAACACTTGTCTGTGCTGATACAAAGTTTTTAAGGTAAAATCAATCTATCAATCAATCTAGCTTAATAAGAAGTTACATAACAGAATATCTGTACTATAAACTGAAATAAAGCTAATCTTGGCCAAAATTGATTCCTGGAATTTCACCAATTTTTTTCAATATTTTCAAACTGAATACCAATTACATGAATAATGAATTAAACAGTCCTTTGGTCTTTCACAAGTTCAAGTGGAATTTAAAATGGAATACTAAGAACACACATATACACCAACATGTACCACCTTAATATAACTCTATTTTTTTCATGACATAAGTTTGGCAGTGTATATACATGTAGTTGATAACATGTAATAAAGCTATATAATTTTTTTAAATTTTTTTAAAAATATATATCATGTATATGGGGGACGTTAAATATTAAAAACAAACAGACATGGAAAGACTATTGATTTCAAAAAATTTCAGATCTTTATTGGCATTTGAAAGACAAAAAATTGGATTAACATGCATCAGAAATTAACTTTTTTTACATTGACTTTCATGCAGCCCCTTCAAGTTTTATTCAGCAAATTGGATCACAAAAGAACCAATTTAAAGTATTCTAACTAGATAAAATTAAAATTCACTTTTACCAATGTGCAAAGCAAACTAAGGCAACACGACATACATCATGTGTTTGACAAAAATAAACTTTATTAATTGCAAATAACCAATGACCATTTTATTAACCAAAATAATTTCAATAAAATGCTCCGCAGGGCGTAGCTTGATACGACCACAGAGGTCGAACCCTGAACAGTTGGGGCAAGTATGGACACAACATTCAAGCTTGATACAGCTCTGAATTTGGATTGTGATTAAATATTTGACACAGCATAGGTTTCTGACACAGAATGAATGTGGTCTAAGAACTTAAAATTTTTAAATTGGACATTCACCTATTATGGTCCAATATCCAAAATCTAAATACATGGTTAGATTCAGCATATCAAAGAACCCCAAGAAATCAATTTTTGATGAAATCAAACAAAGTTTAATTTTGGACCCTTTTGACCTCAATGTGGACAATTCAATTTTTGTTGAAATCAAACAAAGTTTAATTTTGGACCCCGATTTGGACCAACTTGAAAACTGGGCCCATAATCAAAAATCTAAATACATGTTTAGATTCAGCATATCAAAGAACACTAAAAATTCAATTTTTGTTAAAATCAAACTAAGTTTAATTTTGGACCCTTTGGACCTTAATGTAGACCAATTTGAAAACGGAACCAAAAATTAAGAATCTAAATACACGGTTAGATTCGGCATATCAAAGAACCCCAATAATTCAATTTTTGATGAAATCAAACACAGTTAAATTTTGGACCCTTTGGACCTCAATGTGGACCAATTTAAAAACGGGGCCCAAAATCCAAAAACTTAATACACGGTTATATTCAGCATATTAAAGAACCCCAAGAATTCAAGAATAAAACCCCATTGAAATTGATCAAGAAATAAGCAATTTATAAGAAGTATCTTCTTTTGCACAATACTGTGGAATTGAATATTTCTTGCTATTGCGCAATACTGTACAATTGACAATTTCTTGCTATTGCTCAATATTGTGCTATTGGATATTTCTTGCTATTGCGCAATACTGTGCAATTGAAGATTTCTTGCTATTGCGCAATACTGTGCAATTGAAGATTTCTTGCTATTGTGCAATACTGTGCAATTGAAAATTTCTTGCTATTGCACAATACTTATTATATAAAAATTTACACATCCTGTTTGGTGTGTATCTCCTACCATATCATTATTATTTGCTTTTAAATATAAATCAGAAATAACCAACTTAAAATGGAAAATTTTAAAAGAAAAAAAAAAGGAAAAAAAGAAAAAAAAAGAAAGAAACCCCCCCCCCAAATTTTTTGAACCCCCTTATGATTCATCACCCCCAAACTCAATCCCAGCCTTCCCTTTGTGGTATGGTACCTTGCAGTACAATTTCAGAGAGATCCATAGACTTGAACACAAGTTATTGTCTTGAAACTAGAAAAATGCTTATTTTTGGCCCCCAATTCATAAACGTTTCAGGCAATTACCCCCGAACTCAATTCCAGCTTTCCCTTTGTGATATGAAACCTTGTAGTACAATTTCAGAAATATCCAAACACTTACACACAAGTTATTGTCATGAAACTAGAAAAATGCTTGTTTTTTGCCCCTTTTTTGGCCCCTAATTCCTAAAATTTTGAGGCAATTACCCCCAAAATCAATTACAGCCTTCCCTTTGTGATATGGAACCTTGTGGTACAATGTCAGAGAGATCCATACACTTACACACAAGTTATTGTCTGAAAGTTACAAAAATGCTTATTTTTGGCCCCTTTTTGGCCCCTAATTCCTTAACTGTTGGTACCATAACCCCCATAATCAATCCCAACCTTCCTTTCGTGGTATTGAACCTTATGGTAAAATTTCATAGAGATCCATTCACTTAAACTAAAGTTAGAGTGCGAAAACCAATGTGTCTTCGGACGACGCCAGACGACGTCGACGACGCCAACGTCATACCAATATACGACCAAAAATTTTTTAATTTTTGCGGTCGTATAAAAATGGGAAAAATTAAGCTAGTCGTGGTAAAAAACCCAGATACGCACAAAAAAAACCCCAGGAAATATTGCTTTCAAAAACAATTATATGCAATCAGAAGTTAAAAAGCAAGTTCTAATTGATACACATTTCTGTGGCAGTTTTTAATTCAATAACACCAAAAATATTGCAGAAAAGCCTGAATTTCCATCATGTACATACATTGTACATGTATCTGCCCTAAGATTAGCTAATGCTAATAGGCAGTAAAGGTACATATATGCTGTTTCTGCTATAAATTATGAGTAATGAATCTGTTACATGTAACTGTAACTATTTCTTAAAAAAATCTTGTTACAGTTACTATTTCTTAAAAAAATCTTGTAAGAAAATCATATTAATAATTCAGTGTAACTTATGTGTATATATATATAACAAATAAGTCATATTACACTTTACAATAGAATAACGTGTACTTTAAAAAAGTTTAAATTTAGTGTTTACTTACCCCTTTGTCAACTATTCTCTTCTTGAGGTTTGACTGGTCCCCAAAGTCTCCTTTCCCATTCTGAGGCACCATATGGGAGATGTCCACCCACTTTTATATCACCTGATATTTTATCTACTTTTACTAATGCTTCTTTCAGAAGTCTTTGTGTCTCTTTTACTACAACATGTGCATCTAGAGTTGTGTTTGCTGCTTTAAGTGAGATTTCACTAAAAGGAAATCCTAGAAAGAAATCCCCTACAATAGGTGCTGGTCCCTTCAATCTTCCCCTGATAGGATGTTTACTGTTGTGTGAATCTCTCCTTATACTCAGACGAGAATTGTTGGTATTCCTTTGACCCAAGTCTCGACTGTTACTTTGTAATGATGACCTAATTGTCTGTGATTGCGTTGGAGAATTAGACACAAACAATTGGGATCGTGTAAGGTTAATATTAGCCTGTGAAGAATTTCTTCCATTGTTGTTTACATAGTATTTTGATACAGGAGGATTTCGTGAAATATTTCGTGGAATACTACCATGGTGTCGTGGTGTTATGGTTGTTTTTGGAACAGGTGTACTGGCCTGCAATTTCTTATAACCCACATTTGGTAGATTAGATACAGAAGAATTACTAATATTTGTTTGCATCCTGCTGCGACTTCTGTTTGAATTCAGCTGAGATGGTGTATTACTTACACCAAGAGCAGAGATTTTACGAAAAGTTGATGAGTTTCCATTAGGTCGTAATGACTTGATTTTCATAGTTTGACTAGATTCTGTTACAGACGTATTACTATTTGATGCTGAAACATCTACTGCCGGAACAACATTCTGTCTCTGAGATAAAAGTCTTGATGTAGCTTTCGTTTCTACTGGCAACGAAATCAAGTCTGAGTTTTCACTTGATCCAGAAAAACTGGAAATTGCACTGTCCGAAGTGGCAGAACTTTTTATTGAGCCTTTCTCATATCTATGTGATATTAACCCATCAGACTTAGCAAAAGATGATGATGTAGTCTGACGATCAATTCTTGGGTATCTTGAACTAGATTCACGAGTGACAGCACTACGGGGAATTCTGATATTATTTACAGATGTACTTTTTGACACATTGTTATTATCGTCAATTCTCTTTTGACCTATATAGAATTTCACCTTTTCTCGAGATCCAACAGTTTCATCATAATTCAGTCTTGTATCAGCACTTTTTGAACGTTTTATAGAATTTTTTATTGGTTTATGAACTTCCTCATTACCTTGTCTCAGATCACTATGGGAACTAGAGATACCAGAACTACCAGAATTTGGACGACTATCTTCTTTAGTATTAACTAATGGAAGTCCTAGACATTCATCTCCCTTTACTTTTATTTTAATGTCATCAGAATCCTGTTCAATATATGATGCCAGTTCTCTCTCCCCAACAGTTGACTGTTTGCTTAGACTGCTTATGTTTTTGTGAAATGATGACCCTCTCTGTATTGAACTATGGTGGCTTAATCGACTGCTAGAAGCATATCTATCTATTGTTTCATTACCTTTTATCCTAGTACTTTGCCGTTTTAATTTCTCGCCTCCTCTTGAAACATCAGATTCTTTGAAATTCATCAACTGAATAATGTCATGTAGGAGTGGTTTTTTGACAACCATGTCAACCTGGCAGTCAGCACTAAGTGAAGGACTAAAATTAACCTCAAGTAACCATGGTTTCAGGTTCTCATCAATAAGAACATCAAATCCATAAAGTTCAAAACAGTTTGTACATTTTGGCACTTGCGGCGCTTGAATCAGTATGGTTAATATAATGATATTTAATATTCGTATCCATAAGATATTGTCATTGATATTGTTTTGATGAAAATAATGACGCAATTGTGTAAGTGTCCATTTGCAACCGGGGCCTATATACTCCTTGTCAGTAGTATAGGATGGACTATGCTTATTAATTGATGTGTTTGTCAGATGAGCAAATACATTAGTTAATGTATTAAGATCATATTTTTCTGTACTAAATCTCACTATACCTTCTTCATAGATGTAAACGGTCAATGGGTGAAACGATGGCACTGCTACATAAATGCGAAGGTCAAATTTATATCCACCAATCAGCATTGGTTTTGCTATATATCGTTGTACAACTGCATTACAATCGTACTGAAGCTCAGATATGTCCCGGAACAGAAATATTCCCCTTCCTCTGGACATGTCAGCAGGCTTACATATCCACAGTAAGGACTTGCCATCATTTTGTTGTTGTTTCAGCCTCCCATACTCTGCAACATAACGTGTATAATCATTTGGCAAGTTGAAAGCAATAGGACTAAAATTATACACTCCTGTACCATGAACTCCTTTCATTCTTTTTAAATTCCTTGCTAAACAATCTTTTTTGGTTATGCCAACAGACTTTGGGTAATGATTTAACCTTTGCCATGACTGTAGGAAATCGTAATCACAGTTACGGAAACGTGATGTCCTCCACCATATATTCCAATCTTCATCTTCTTGTTGTACTTCATCAAACTCTATCCATCCTCGTTCAAGGAACATCTGACGAATAATTTCTGGTCCCTGTCCATGATCGTTGAGTCTGAACACCAAGGCCTTAGACCTATCAGTCATACCTTTTATCTGATAGTATGCTAAGTATGTCAGAGATGATGCTTCAGGTCATTCTCAATCCTCTACCACTAAAGCAAGAATGCTTTACCTGAAAAGTAATCAGCTCATATATTATTATTGTCATTATATCTTAAACACATTAGTTAGGGTGACACCATATCTCTATTTTATTGTTGATTTTTTTTAAAGCCATCTGGAGATGTCTTTGATAACCACAACTGCCATGTACATGTTTTGTTACATCAAAAACTTACGATCATTTTACATTTTTCCATACATGGTCTTATACAACATCTAGATGAAACATTACAAGCAGTTGCACCATGAGTACAAATGTACATGACATGTTAGTCAGCAGACAATTTTTTTCTTCAAAATTGTCTTTTTTTCATTTACAATGTAATTCATAATACTTTTTATTTGTCTAACTGCATTTTTTTTCCATTTGAAAATTGAATTATCAAAATCAAGAATTACATATATGTATAATGTATGTATGGTGACCATGTTTTTTATTTCACCTAAATTAAGAAATTTGATTTGAAAATCTTCCAAACATTTTAAGTAAATTTCCACTCTCTGAATTGACAAATCGCTTTGTGCAATATACTAATATCTGACAGTTTGATAATCAACTATCATTTCATTTTAAAAGCTGTCCAGAGTTATTTTTATCTTGACAATTTCCATTTTATTATGATGACCAGAATCATGAGAATATGTAATGAATAGTCAATGGAAAGGCATTTACTTCAGTAAGAAGGGCTTTGAAGGAAAATACAAGCAATTTGGCTGGACCAGGAGTTGTCTGGATGAATGACTTTCAATGTGTACCTATTCCAATGATTATTAATCATTGTTTTATTTTTCTCTTTAATAGCCTTCCACTAATAAGTCCAATTTTAAAAATTGTGAATATTCTGAATATACATTTTACATGCACATACATGTATATATATACTGGCCTTGTAAAATCTTTTACAAAATTTTGTTTGGGATTTATTGTTATTTCAACATCTTTAGGCTACACATGTAGCAAAAATTTGTGACAGAGATTGATCCCCAAAGCAATCATGAAATTCACCTTTCAACATTATGAATCTACATAATGTTCTCATGCTATAATTCATTGGCATTGCTCTAAATCTTAGTGTGATGCAAAAGATAATGTTTCATATCAATCACCACCAGCCAGACAAAAAAATTAAAGACTAAAATGAATCCTTAAAGGCTTCTTTAAGATGTGCAATTAGCAAATACATTGGACAGTACAACAGGCAATGCCAACTTCTCTGAAAACAATTTCCCAAGTAAAATTCCATGTGCATTCAATTAATTAGCTGCTTAAAAATTAAATAAAGTGAAAAATTATTACTAGACCACTGTCCTAACCATGGAAATTTAGAGACAGGACAACAATATGCTGTTAAAAGCCAGTCAGGAGTATAACAGCAATGACAAGTACATTTGTACATGTGGTTCGATTTTACTTAATTTTCATTCTGCAATGCCAATGTGTTCAGTATATATTCATATGATATATATTAGTCATTACAACATTCATGACATTAACTTTTTATATCACGCTAGGTAATTATTACTTTCGCTTCAACTGACATATTATAAAATATTTAAATACCCTTTAATCATAACTTGATTTAAATCAACGTTGTCAAGATTTATGACTATTTAATTTTTCAAAATGCATTTGTCTTGAAATATTTTGTCCGACATCCAAAAAATATTACAATGTTGACAATTATAGAACAAGGCATATAAATCATCTCTTTATTGTCTTACCTCTGCATCAATGACATCAAGGAAGAACAGTCCCGACACATCTTAGTCCATTCATTCTTAACTTTCTTCTCTCCTTTCATGTGCACCTTTCCCTCAATGTTGACATCACGTGACATAGCGACAACCAATGAAATTGACCCTTTCATAACACTTTAGTTCAAGAAGATATCATGAGGCCCATTTAGGGACTATTTAAATTTTCATCAATCTACCGAACATGTTCATTCATGGAGATAAAACCTTCCTTACTGTATTTTGTGTTTTTTTATTATTATTAATATTTTTTTTTTCTAGATTAGCAGCTGTAACACAAACTTGTAATTTTTATTTTAGCATTACAATATTTACATAAAAATATATTTTGCAAATTTTATAAATAATCATTCTAACATAATTATATCTAAAAATTCCCCATCCTAACTTCTGTCTGAAATTGTAAACATATAAATGAGGTCCTAATGGTGTTCAAAGGACAGAGAATTACAAGCAAAAAAAATAAATTGAATAATTGGCCAAAATAATAATGAATATATGAAACAGAAAGAATAGAGAAATGAAAACCCCCTCCTCCCTGAATCTATGAAAAAAATAAGGTGACAATTTCCATAAGTAAGTAAGTAAGTAAAACTTTATTTTGATTTTGGCATATTTGACAAACATATTAAACATAAGCTCTAATGAGCTTTTCATCGAATAGACAAGAGGACAAAGAAAATAAGTAGTTTATTATGAATTTCCAGAGAAAAAAAATCAAAATAGAAGTTTGAAGAGAAAATTGGTTTCGCTTTTAAAAATCATTTAAAACAAGAATATTTGTCAATAGGACACCATGCCCCACTCACACTGTCACATTTCCATGTTCAGGTGAGAAAATAATAAAGACATTGGTTTATAAATAACAAAATCTTCCATCTGTTTGTTCAAAGAAAAAACCAAATTCCCCCTTCGAAAGATGAATAATCTGCCTAAAATTCCTAGGATACATGATGTTAAACATGATCTTTTTTTGTATGTATTATCAGAGAAAATACAAATAAGCAAAAAAAAGAAACCTTAACATAATTATTAAGGGAGCCTTGTACCCCAACATATTAGCAACATCACCATTAAAGTTAACAGATCACTTGGGTTTCTGGAGAGGAATCTTGGTATAAAACTTCCAAAGAAATTCAAACGTCAAGCATACCTTGCAGAAGTCAGGCCTCACTTAAAATGTACTCAATACCGGCAGAAACACATTCACCAATTGGAAATGGTCCACCACAGATCAGCTAGATTTATTACCAAGGAGTACTCTAAGAGAACCAGGTACTGTGACATATATCACTTCTGGAAAAGTTGAAATGACCACCACTTCAACAAAAGCCAAAAAGTCTCAATATTACTGTTGTTCAACAAAGTTTTTCATAAAAACATAGCGATACTAATACCAGAATATGTACTGCAAACAAGGCACATCAGATAATCACATCCAAAACGTTTAATTAGACTTGGTTCCACAGGAAATCAATACCAACATTGCTTTTTCAATAGAACAGAGAATTAAATACAATACCAAAGACATACTTGACATTGAGGCCATCAAAACCAGATTCATTGTGCACCCAACATCTATCATGTAAAACAAAGCCAGTTTTTGACCTGCATCTGTAAATATGATTTTAATATGCTCCACTTAAATGACATCATAACAAATGTAAATAACGTGTGCTATGGGTAAAAGACATACCAGTTGATGTAGGTCAGTAGGTAATTCATATTGCTGCAAGCTTAGAATCATTATACATAAAAAAAATGTCCCCAATGGAACCTATTGAGAACCTATTCTTTTTTGGACCCCATCAAAGTATCTTTCAATGAACCCCCATGCACAAACAAATATAATATGCACAGGTTGACATGCAATGTGCATATGGTAGAACCTTGTCTTAATGCATCTTGCCTGTTGTTTCTGAGAACTGCTGTGTGAGAGAAAGAAGAAACAAAACAGGAACTGAGAATAATCAATAGGTGTCCCATCTATAATTGTGAGACTTTATTATTATTTTTAAGCGCAAGATAAGATCTGGTGATGAATCATTTGTGAGACCACAATTATCAACTGGGGAATTTTTATAGGTTGTCTCATTGTCAATCATAACACATCTCTTTATTTTAGTAACATGTAGCTCATCTGGTATCTTTGCCCAATGTGAAGGTTGGTCATTCTCCAATTTAACAAAACCAGTAGTTTTAGATGATAATAAACAGGTGAAAAGAAAACAGATGAAGATGGACATCTTGCAAGGGATACCAAGAGATAGAAATAGCTCATTATATCAAAAGGAGATGTCGTGTAAACATCATTGAGCCGGGAACCAAACAAAGGGCAATATCAAAATTAAAATCAGTCCTTTTTTTAATTACATGTTATGTATGTATTGAAAAACAAATCTTACTAATGATTTTCCTGTTCTATAGATAAAAAGAAAAAACATCAATATGACAGCATCTCAGATTTAAAATTTTGCAAAATCTTTTGTTGCTCCTTTGACGGTTGTTCGGTTTAATTTATTTTCTTGAGAGACAGATGTGTTTTACTTTTACTACACATGGTCTATATAGACAAAGGGGAAGGTTTGTGTGCACATAATACTTGGTCAACTCCACCACATTTTGCTTCTGTACCAGGTAAGGCTATGTAGACCACGTGTTGGTGTCCATTAATGTTGGTATATCCATTTTTTATGGAGTTGGTTGATGGTTGGTGTAGCCTGTTATACTGTCTTACATTTTTTATGATTCCTATTATCTTTTTTATGTTTTATCTAGAATAACAACATTAGACAAGCAACTGTGTGGCAATTTCTAAATCATCCACATGTTGATTTTCCAATGAGACTGTCTTGTAATGATGACAGTATTTGTTAAATTTCTTAGCCCATTATAGTCTGTTATTTGTTAATGTTATTCTCCATCACAGATATAGCATTGTCTAGGTCAACTAAGAATTCCACTCAAACCAGTGCTAGTGATACACTTGCAGTAAGGTGTAAGCTTTTTTTTGTTTGCCCCACTATGCCTTAGATACAAAGAATTGCAATAAAAGTGCTGGGATTTTTTGTCATGATTTAAAATAAAGGTCCTATCTTTTTAATACTTGCAATGGTATAGCCTATGTATGCGGACATGATGTTTAATTGCCATAAATTAATTTTTTCAATTTATTATATTGGATAAAAAAAAAAAAATGTCCCCACTTGCATATACATTATAAAGGGTATAACTCAAGAGAAGTAAAAGTGATACCACAAAAACTTGAACTTATCTGAGATTTGTGGTAATAAGCATTGTGAATAAGTTTCATAACATTTGGTTCAGGCAAACTTAAGTAAGAGAATAAAAACGAAAAATTAAAAAGGGCATAACTCTAGAATAGTAAAAGTGACCCCACCCAAATTCAAACTTGATCTGTGTTTAGTGGTAATAAGCATTGTGTATAAGTTTCATATCATCTGGTTGAGGCAAACTTAAGTAACAGAACAGAGACTAAGGAGTAGGCCCCGTAAGACCCCTTTTTGGCCCCAAAATATAGTATTTTTACAATTTGTTTAAAATGTAAACTTTTAGCTATTTATTTGAAAGTAGAATACTTTAGTTTCATAAATATGGGCTGTTTTTGACAATACAATGCACATTCATCAAGTACTAGTATCAGTAATTCATGTAAAATTTCTGAAATCTTCAAAATTTTAGCATTTGTGCTAATTTCTAGACGGTTTTTGTCTAAAATGGATAACTAACCCATTAAACTAACTTAATCAGAAAACTTAACATTGAAAATTGTTAATTGATTGAAAGTCACTGGACCATGACCTAGGGGGCAGGGCCTTGAAATGTCGTTAAACTGATATGTACTGATAATAATGCAACTTTATAGAAAATATCATTGATCTATCGCAAGTAGTTCCTAACAAACTAACTTAAGCAGAAAAATTATCATTGAAAATTGCTAATTAATTGAAAGTCCCTGAACCATGGCCTCAAAATAGTTGTCAAACTGATATGTAATGATAGCAATGCAACTTCACACAAAATATCATTGATCTATCACCAGTAGTTCCTATCAATTTAATTTAAGCAGAAAACTTAACATTTAAAATTGCAAATTAATTCAAGTCACTGGACCATGGACTAAGGGACAGGGCCTCAAAATTGTCATCAAACTGATTAGTACTGATAGTAATGCATCTTCATACAAAATATCAATAATCTATCACAAGTAGTTCCTATGAAACTAACTTAAGCAGAAAACTTAACAATTGTTAATGGCGTCGCGGGAAAAGCAATCCCTGTCTCCCTTTCCGCGACAAAAGTCTTGGACGAGACAAAAATGTAAAAAATCTTTCATCGATGTACTTCAAATTTTAGGCGAAAATTAGCCCTTACCAGACCTTCTCTTTTTGGGACGTACATACAGACAAGGGTAACAGTTAATGCCCCCCCCCCCCTCCTTGCTGCGGCAGGGGCATAATAAAAAATGACAATAGTGCTATACAGTATATATTATGTATACTATGTCTCATGAACTCAAAAATAATATGTATATAATTTTATTTATTTTTGTAAACATTTCATTGTTTCTTCCTTTTCTTGGATTTAAAATTTTTAGCTTCATTTGAAGGTTTTGTAAAGCCAAGGTCAGCTTTCCGTTTAAACTTTTCTTTCTTGAATGTCTCCTCCTTATCTATAGGTGTTATGATAGTTCCAAGTTTAGTTACAATCTTTGGTTTCACTAACTGTTTATAGGCTGTTTCTGGATTCCATGTCTTTCCTATAGGAGCTCTTATACTCTGTTCAAACTGCTTCACACTTACATATGGAAATGGCAAATCACTGACCTAAAAAAGATAACAAAATGTTTCAAATTTATATAAGGAAACAGCAATCAGTGACCTACATGTACAACAGACAACAAAATCTTCTGCTGTAAAATAGACTTTTTTCTCACTTTAAAAGGTGTTTTTAGATCAACAGACATACAAGACAAAAACAATGAATCATCATATATGTGGGCATCAATGAGACAGTATCCAGACAACACTAATAACCAAAACACATCTTGGATCAGCATACAGTCCAACAATAAATGGTTAATTATCTTTACAATATGTAAAGCTCTAAATTGCCCCGAGCTTAAAAAATGTTTTTCATTAATTAAGTGCCAATCTGGATAAGAATCAGGTAGTGGTGAAAACATGACAAACAAAAACCCGCTCAAGTTTACATTAATCTAAGTTAAGAATATATAATGGTGCACAATTATAACATTTGTTTCCTTTTCCTATTCTGGTATTTCAAGATATTCATTGGTTGAAATGCATTAAAAATTAACAATTAAGGGGAGCTAACTCCATAATGCTATCATTCTAACCAAAAGTTATCTAAGAGATTTCACAAATTACCAGACACACACAAATGAAAGATCTACCATTTCTAACACAGGATGAGGGTAAGTACAGAAGGTTTTTTCGTTCATGTTTGGAAATTCTTTTAAACTGCCTGATTCTTACAAAGACTGGCACTTAAACAGAAACTGTCATAGAACTAAAATTAACACCAAATTATCAAAATTACATAAAAACATTAATACAACCCCTTAACAAGTTTGATCCCCCTAAATCTCTATAACTTTAGTACATTGTAATCTTATTTACAATCATCAATAGACTTTTGACAAATCTTCACTGTAGTAATATGTAATAAAACTATGACCATCATATACCACAAGTATGTACTGTAGCATAATAGAGTCAAAAATACCTTTTTTTGGCATCCTCTATCACTGATTTAAATTCTTTTTTGCTTTGTAAACAAAACCATATTCTGATTCCAATAAAACATGGGTAACATCTGCTTAATGTCACAATTGAATTTGCAACATTGGTTGTATTTTGAAAGATGTCGGAGATCAAAATGGATGTTTCTGTTAGAGTTGATCTCTATGAAATTCAATAAAAATCTTTGAAGCATGAATTTCTCACCTTGTACAAGTATGCAACAGTAGCCTCCATCTTTCACAACTAAGTAAGATTGTGATCAGGTTTACTCCAGATCAACTCAGCTGTGTTTCAACTATTTGTAAATCTTATCTTGCTGATCATTTAAGCTGTTCACAGAGTCTCTCTATCTATTATAGTTCTCAAGATAATAGCCAAAAGCACAAAAAATGGTACAAATGTTCATTAAAGCCAAAATAAAAATTTCAGGTTTGTTAGATCTTATCTTGCTGATCGTTTTTATTGTTTACAGTTTCTATTTGAACTATTTATATGAGCAAACAGTCAAAAACACAAAAAAAAAAAAATGGGTGAAAATGGTCATTGAATGGAAATATGAGTCTATAATCCATTTGAGTAATGTTGACTAAGTTGTAGGTCTAATTTTGCCGATCCTTTTGCTGCTTACAGTTTCACTCTACTAAAGTTTTCACCAAAACACAAAATGAATAAAAATCGTCATTGAAAAACAAAAACTTCAATACAGGATCAACTGATGATTTTGGTCATGTTTACTTATCTGTAGATCTCCTCAAGCTGATAATTTTGCTATTAAAAGTTTCTCTCTATCTGTTATTGTTTCTAAGATAAATGTCAAAAATTTGTAAAAATCTAAATATCTGACTTTCAAACATATTTTATATGTGTGGTTCAAAAAAAAAGTCTGATATTCCTATTTAGAGTCAAAATAGTTCTAGAATATATGTAACAATAATAAGAAAGATGATAAAAATACTACAAACCTGGTATTTAGCTATAGATTTGTCTTTCTGTTCACTAATGATAACATTTCCCAAATTTCTGTCTTTTCTAGGGAGCGCTGGTGGAGCCTTTATCACAAATCTACATGAATTTTAAAAGTAGAAAGATAGAGAGATTATAAAATCATAACAAGAACAGGCATATATATTATTATATATCTAAACAATAACATTTAAAAACATATTATATGCAATGATTTGGTTTTCACTTCTACATTGGTTGTTTTGGCTGTTTCTATATTCCACTTGTTCATATCATTCATTGGCACCTGATTTCATGTTAAAGGAAACGATCATTCTGGAGGAAAGCTATCCAATTTTTTAATGACAAAACAGATTAATTATAACTTTTGAAATAAACTACTCAAACATTAATTAATTAATAATATAATAATTTCTAGTAGAATTCAGAAAGGTAAAATTTGTAGTGACCATGAGTCATATAAAAAACACAAATAGTATGCATATACATGTGCAGTGTATTTGTCTGTTAATGTTTTGTAAACTTTAGTAATAGATGAATACAAAAATGAACTGCATTTCAACGTCTAATTTTAACAAAAATATAAAGATGGCATCACAATATTTAAAAAAAAAAACAAAAAAAAATGTCCTTCTTAAATACATCACTGAAAGTATGAAAATCAAATTCAATAGGTCATCCCCTCTAAATGCAAATTCTGTATTTGTACCCAAGTTATTAAAGGATACTTTTAAATTGCAAATGTATAAAATCTGTGAACATATAATGTGAATATGATACTGTTAAGCAAATCATTTTTGCGAGCAATTTATTTTCGTGATTGAAAAATAACTGAAATAAAAATTGTTGCCAATATGAGTATTCCCAAATATATATATTGCAGGAAAATGTGAAAATCTCATAAATAAATCGTCGCTTAGTCAGATAGAAAGGACTTATCGCATAAATAAGTTGGTTTACATTAATTTTCTAACTGTACCTTTTTTTTTTCCTTTTCGATACTTTGACCCCTACTCCTCCCCATTCACCCCAGCCCGGAAGAGTCAAATCAATATCTTTCGGCTGATCTCTGTTTTCTACTTTTTTCTTTTCCTGACTAAACTCTTCAATGACATCATCATCAGCAAATGCTTGGGCAATTGCCAGCTTTTGTTGTTCCTCATTATCAATGTCGTTGTCGTCAACAATCATATCTGGCATTTGTGACTTATCGATCTTTGATTCCAAGGTCATTAATTTCTTTGGATCGACATAAACATCTTCATGAACCTCAAACTTCTTTCCATCATTTTCATCCTCACTTTCGTCTTGCTTTTTTCTTCCTTTTCTAACTTCATTTCCTATTTCGTCATCGGACAAGTCACCTTCAAAGTCATCAAGCTTTGTTCTTCTTTCTAATTTTTCAGAAATAAAGGTTTCTTCCTCAGATTCAACCTTTTCATCTTTTTTTATTAACTTCGCCTTTTCTATCTCTCTCTCCTTTTGTTTTTCCATTCTCCTTCTTTTTCTTTTCATTTTCTTACTTTCTTTTCCATCTGTGGAATTTAAATCTGAAGAATCTTTTTTACTTTTCATTATTTTTTCATGAATAGTTTTTTTAACTGTATTTCCTTTTTGGCTTTCTTTGCTTGATTCAAAATCTTTAAATAAGTCATCAATGTTATCAATTGCATTAATATTTTTACTACTATTTTTCTCTTTCTTTCTTTTCTTTCCTTTCTTAGGTACTTGTACATTTTCAACTTGCTTAACATCATCTGCCATTTCAGTTTTTAAATTGTCATTGTTTTTATCACCTTTTATTTCTGTGAAGTTTACATCTACATTGTCACTGTTGCCATCCAAATTATTTTTATCTTCAATAATGACCTTCTGAACAACATTTGATAACATTATCGTATTTTCACTTTCATCTTCACTTCCAATAGGAAGTAAAATTTTGTCCTCATTTTTCACTTCTTCAATCTTTTCATACCCAGATGGTTTAGAGAGTTTTGAGCCTTTCATCCATGGATTCTCAGATGCAGACACAGCACTTTCCAACATATTCATTTCATCTTCAGAATTCATACTAACAGCATCAGATTCACTATCACTAACAACCTCTGCCTTCTGTGTCAATTCCTTGTTTTTCTGAATCATTTCTTGAACTGTTTGGCGTGCCTAAAAGAACCAAAAAACTTTAAAACATCCAAAAATACTGTATCATTTATGTGGCAATGAAGTTTAATGTAAAGCAAAAATTAAATTTCCATTTATTTAATAACTACTTCTGCAGGGTTGATTGTTTTTTGTTTGGTTAATGTTCAGTGGCAAATATTTCATGCAGATTAAGGACCAGAATAAACTAAAACAGTGAGTGAACTATATTTGCAATATAGAAATTAGTTGTAATTATCTCCCCTTTAACATGTAGGATTTGGGATTATTATCATTCATGCACATCCTCATGTAGTGTTCTACAACTGTGTCAAGTTCAATCAATATCCATCCAGCCTTTTAGGCTTTTCAAGGCACATGGACAGTTGGACAAAATGACAGACAGATATACATTGTGATTCCTATATATCCCCAAAACTTAAGTTTGCTGGGGATATTTATATTAAATATATATAAGAAGGTTGACAAAGTACACTGATAGGGATGCAGATAGGGAAGTTAAGGCTGTAACTGGAAAAGAGGGGAAGAAATGTGCACTTGCAACACACCTACTGACCGTTTACTTTCTGTAAGACTGTATATGAAACTTTTCAATGGCAGATTCAGGCTTTCATGTGGGGCATTAAATAGTTCAGGAATTTTTACTAAACAACGACGAACACAGTAAAAATCATATATGATTTTATTCTGTATTAAAGTAAAATTCCGCTTTTGCAGTTTCGAAATTTCTCCTTTACTGTTTTTTTTTTCTAGTTGACTGTCAATAACTTCTGTTAGGTGGCATTTTCCCTTTTTCTCGACTCTTAAAAATTTGATGGATGTACTAAATAATTGCGCTTGTTCTTAATTGCCACAAAAAAATGGGCACATAGAATAGTGTTTTCAGTAAAAATTGTCAAGTTAATGGCAGTTAAAATCTTTAGGAAACCTATTAAAAGAAGATCAACCGTTCAAAATCATACCTTTGACTACCCTCCACAATTATATGAAAAAGTATGCTCTGTATCCGATATAATGGTTAGAAAAAGCAGAAAACACCATAAAATACCAAATACTAGCACAATATCAACAACTAATTTATTATACAGATACATACTACGGTAAACATTACAGATATAACATCAATAAAGTTAGAGTGTGGAAACTGCAAAGTTGCCAATTTTTTCATTTATAAAGGGACATAACTCGAGAACGGTGAAAGTGACGTCATCCAAATTCAAACTTGATCTGTGTTTGGTGGTAATAAGCATTGGGGACGTAGACAGAAAAACTTAGATTACAGGTTTAGGAAACAAGGGGAGATAATTATATTTTACTGTCCTTTACAAAATTTAGGGGAGATAAATGTTTTCTTTAGCCAAGAAATTAACTCATATTTTCTATTTCATGTGAAAAATACCATGCAACATTAAAAAAATTGAATTTGGAACAATTAATGGACTTGTTATGGGGAGACAACTCACCTGATCATCATACTTTCCATAAATCATTTTTTTCTTCATATATTTACTTCCTCCTCTGTGTTTTAAACTCATTCTCTCCTGAAAATATTAGAAAAAAGTCAAGTATCAGAGTTCGCGAAAACTTATTTTGACCCGTCGGTCATGGGACCGACAAAGCATGATTATTTGTCAGTCCTACAAAACTTTAGCCAGTCCTACAAAATCTGTCAATTTTATCCTGAAATAAAATTATTTACATATTTTATCGAAAAATAACTTTATTAATATTAGTTTTATTCTTCGCACCCACAGGCAAATTAACAATGAAGGACCAGTTCAGGTCTTCTGATTGTTCTTATTTAAAGTCATCTTCACTATCCACTTCATCATCTGAATCATTTTCTCGGCTGTTACAGTATTTGTTTGCTCCATTGTAGGGTTCAATTGCCGATTGTTTGCCAGGGATGGCTCTATGAACAAATTTAGTAGGCCACGTGTAGATCGCCGCTTTGGTTTGTTTATAATAAATCCGTAAACCAGTACCGGAAATTGGCAGCGGGTACATCTGATAACCGATGTAAACACCTATTGGAAACAGTTGCGGTACATCTAATAACCGATGTAAAAAAGTGCCGAAATATGCACTACAACGGCCGTTTTTACATCGGTCATCGGGACCGGCACTAGCCTTCAAAATACTGGTCCGAGCCTCATTTTGACCGACAGGACCGACAGGACCGACCATTTTCGTGAACTCTGAAGTATGTCAATTTTTAGGTTATATGACCAGGGCTTCCAAAAAATATTTGAGCTAGCCGGACATTTTTTTGTGTGTCTTATCCCGATTTTAATCCCTTAAGACTTAGTAACAAAAGGCAACCATAGTAATCAGTTGGGCATCATATAAATTATGATTGACACAAAAACGGTATTTGACTTGATTTTTAATATAAATTCAATGTTCTGGCGTTAACTGTTAAATTGACAGTGCACCATTCGAAGCGTGTAACATCAGCGTACTAATATCTGCCTAAGACTCTTTATTTGTGCAAAATTACGCTGTCAATAACTTCACTTTCGTTTTTAAAAAGTACATTTTCCTTATACCGGATGTTGACTTGACAATGGTAAAACACGGACCATGGACGGATACGTACAACCCGTGTACGTTTACAAAGCACGATTGACAAAAATAATTGAGTTTGAGTAGCTCATTCCGCATTATTTCTACAGAAAAATACTTGAAATTAACGTTAGATAAAGGTATCAATGATATTTTTAACATTTTTGAAAATTTGGATGCATAATTAAATCTCACACCTGCGCACATGCGCATGAGTTTACTAGTTCAAACAATGTGGTTCTGACGATTTTTCACTTAAAAACTTTTATTACTACCTTTTTAAATTTTCATCAAATCATATTTAAATACGTTTTCTGGTTTTCTGAATCTTGTTGATTAAATTAATTAGATGTAAACCGCTGAAATTTAAAAAAAAAAACTTTTAATAGACCGATCAATGTCCGGTACAAAATATTTACCTGTCGCCTGAACAGGTAAAATCAGCTGTCAGAGAACTAATTAATTAACCTTGATTGTAATGAAAGGGTATTAAAGTAGGGTTTGTTTTGATAGTAATTATTCATCATGTCATTTATATGACCGGAAATGTGTGGCTGTTTAAGGCAAAAAGTCAGGTCAAAAAGATCGCATAAACTTCATTTTTTTTTCTGAACTATGTTAAAATGTCTGTTTCAGCCTTGGCACAACAAGTCATTTATATAATTTACTGGACTTGTCAGGAAAATACGACCGTTTTGGAAGCCCTGTATATGACAGACATAACATTTGAGCTACGTGGTCAAAGAATAATTAACCTTCTTAATAATGATTGGTGTTAGAGCATGTATTCAGTTAGGTAGACTGTAGTCTTGTTTTTTTTATATTACATGTTAAGTTTTAAAGGGGCATTATTAACTCACAGATTCGACTCACAATTCTCACATGCTATTTATAACATATTTAAATGCCCATCCAAATTACAAAAAGTCCAAAAGAAACAATTAGTACTGAACAAACTCCTTATAATGTAAGAACTTTTAGTGTGTATTTTAGACTAGACACCATCTTATTAACTATGTTTTGATTTAACTGTGTTTTAGATACTAAAAAGAAACTTCATATTTGACAACTGTCCACTTAATGAAAACTGCAACTGAAATATAAAAGTTAAACTTGACTTATGTTTAGTAATTCCTCACAATATTTCTGAATTTTAAATGATTTGGTCAAGGCTACAATACTTTATTGAATAGAAACCTCAAAATAACAAAATATTTACACATCAAGGGACATAACTCAAGATGAGCATAATGAAACAAGTTGAGGTTGTCTTGTGTTAACATTGCCTAAAATTACTATAAACTTCTAATAACTATTAATTTGTTCAACTTTTACTCAAACTATTGAACAAGAAGAACAACTACGCCTCTGGATTTCTTTCTTCTTACCTCTACCCTTTGTTTGTCTGCAGTTGTCACTTTCTCCATGTAGGCATCTGGATCAGTTTTTGCTAATTCATCCAAAGATTTCTTCTCATTTTTCATTTTTTCTTTCCTTAATACTCTATGATATCTGTAATGATTTGAATAAAATAAATTTTTATTTGACAAAAATTATGAAAAGATCCTAAAAGCAAATGTCATACATTAGTATGTTAAATGAATACTTCATTTTCCCCCAGATTAGGTTATAGGTTAATCACAATTTTCCACTATCACATTTCTTGAACAACAACAAATTTTCAGAATGTTGAAGTTTATTTAGTGATTAAATGGATGGAAAACTGAAGCTCAAAGTCATTATTGAACAAGCTTAAGTCCTCCTAAACAAGATTTGCCTTGACCTATGACATTCAGTAATTTTGTTGGCTCCCTCGATTGATTTCTGATGAAGATTGGAGATGAAAATGGAGCAATATGATGCCTTCAGACTTGAATCTCCAGGGGCAAAGTTTAATGAAGATTGGATGGGAATGAACTTCAACAACACCTATATGAGCTTACACACAGATTAAACACAATACTGGTGTTGCTTTAACCCTAGTGCATCTTCATATTAATGGGAAATAAAAGATTAATTTATAATTTGTAAGTTTCAGTCATACAGATACTTGGAAACAGGAGATATTGGCAGGCCTTACAATAGGCAATGTACAATTCCTTTACAAACTATTGTTGCATGATTTCAAATGTGCAGACAGTATGTAATTCCTCTAAAATTGATCATTAGAGACCAAAAAACAATTTATTTTTCAAATGACTTATTACTCAATATTGCTTCTATGTATTATTTATCAAGATTTTTTCATGAACTTTGAAAATAAATGCTTTTACAGTGAAAGGCAAGGATACTGAGGCCACTTTGATCTTCTTTTTCATTAAAAAAAGATAGATTTGTAGTGCAACTGATCTTCAAAGGTTTTAAATACTCACTTTTTACTTTTAATTTTATTTCGCCATCTTGCTTTTGTTTCTTTATATGATAACAAAGCCCTGTGCTTCCTTAATTCTGCAAGTCTTTCTCCTGCCTGAAATATTACAGAAAAAACATTAACAACTCCCAATGTTGTTTTTTTTTTAAATGCAATCAAATATGAGGCTTTGTTTTTGTTTTTACCTTTTCCCAAGGGCCTTATTGCATAGTGGTATCATTGAGCTAGCATATCAGATTTTTTAATATAAGTGTATTACAAATGTTGTGTTATAATTTGAAGGAAACTGTGATATTTTAAATCTCTGGTGTTTTTTAGAAATACTTGGTAGAACTATGATTGCCATACACCCCACATCTCCTTTTGAGGTCATGTATAACAGAATATTTTTTCAATATTTTCATTTTGTTTTTTTAGAAAGTTTATTAGCTACATATTGCATTATTCCCCTGAAATTTTACCTATCCAAGCTTAAAGAGCCTTTTCTTCATCCTTATCTTTTCATGTCTCATTAGTACTGTTTATGTGTTAAATACTTACCTCCTCAAGACTCATAGCTTTCAGTGCCTTCTCTTCAGCAGGTGTTAGCTCCTGTTTGTTGGATACTACATTTTCACTTCCCTTCAGTAATGATGCTACTTCTACCTCTAATGAAGTCCTTGGCTATAACAGATAGAATGTATCAAATTAATTTAAAATTCCAATTGTAGTGACTACACACAACTTAACTTAAGTTTTCCTAATTGTCTTAAGATTTCATAACTGTCTTAAGTCTTCATAACTGTCTTAAGTCTTCATAACTGTCTTAAGTCTTAATAACTGTCTTAAGTCTTCACAACTGTCTAAAGTCTTAACAACTGTCTTAACTATTTATAATTTATTGTATGTTAATTAAATATAGAGATGCAAAATTTAAAAGATACATCGTAGTGAGGAATGGTCCTACACTAATAATTTTTATAGATGGATGTTTTACTTCCTATAGGTAATTTGTCAACCAGATTCTGAATGTGAATATGTGAACTCTAGATGAGTATGAAACTGTTTTACATTAAATCAACTGCTAAGGCAGGTTTTTAACACTTAGAAACATAACTTCAAGCCAACAACATTACTCCTAATGTATTATATTTGTCAACAAACACAAAGTAAGTCTTTACTTTGACAAATCTAGGGATCAAACCGAAAAACCTTTCTGCACTTGAGGCAAGCAAATTTATACACGACTGCAAATTAGTATTTTTAAGGAACAAAAGTAGAGATCACTTCAAGCATTCTAAATGCTGCAACAACAAAAATATAGTACTTATAAGCATATAATAGAATCAACTGTTTTGCCATCTTCATTTACCAAGGATTACATTCCAGTCCCCTACTCTTCATCCTTTGCACATTAAGATAGAATTTGTGTATACAGCTTTGCACCATCTAGTGACAGATCATTCTTGACCAATGGCAGCACTTGAATTCTCTTCAGTGTGGAGGTGTAAAAATAGTTGTGTCCAATGTTTACAAATTTCGTTAAGCAGGAGCCGCAAATATACTCTGTCATTCCAATATTTGTACGAGAAACTTACCCAAGAACTTCAGTTAGTGGATTATTAACTTTAAAAGTGTCACTAAATGTCTTCCTAATGTTTTGGGGGTAAAGACTTGTTGCACGATCGGCACATGGCAATTGTTGATTTACTTTTCTACATTTACACATGATCGTCTTAAAGGCTGTTTTTGATTGGATGCAGCCAGTTACAACTACTACCTATACATTACCTCCTGGATATGAAATTCTGACAATCTGCCAAGGATGATGAGAAGGGGACTGGATCGTAACCCTTGGATAGCAAAGATGCTGTTTTGCGCTTATTCTCATCTTGATGAACTAAAAAAGCTAACAATACAGATTATATAAGGTTACCTTAATGACTTTGGCTTGCTGTTCTACTGTATGAAGTTTCAGTACAGGTCTTTCTAATGGAAATCTTAATTGTTCTGCCTGTAAATATTCAATATAAATTAAGTTGCGTACACATTTTGTATATGAATGAAAGGAAATGAGTATATGAACATTAGACAGCAATTCAGTTAGACAAGGAAACCAAAATGACATCTAAAAGTCAACATAAAGCCTCCAACAATAAATATGAGTCTCTATCATATATTCATTTCAATTTGAAGCAATGTACCTTTATTTTTTTAATACATTCTCATTGGCTTCTACTTAAAAAATCTTTATGTAAATAATTCAACCTGAAAAACTGAAGTGACCTGCAGGAAAAGATACTGTAAACTTACAATTTATCAATAAATCACATAGCAAAGGAGATGGGCTTTTTCACTGTCCTTTTTTGTGAAGTTAAGTAGCATTTAATACAGTGGAGAAACATTAAGGGAGAACTGACAACCCATTGTTCAAATTTTAATGTTCTTCTTTAATTTTGATACAGTTTTAACTGTAATTTATTGCATTCCTTTCAATCAAAATTCTTAGTTATAAAACATGCTTTCGTGTAGTCATTTAGAAAAAATGTTATCAATTTGATTTTTTTTTTTTTATTACCTATCATTTAGTACAGTCTTAGGTCAAAAGTGTTTCACCTATCGGAAATTCTCCTATCATTTCATATAAAAACACATTTTTAATAAAAATTCTATTGAAGAGATTTCTTGTCTGAATTGATTGAAATTTTTTTCATCAAATACAGAAATGTCAGTAGTTTCTTGAAATTTTTGAAATATATTTATGATCTATATTTTTAAGGAAATCAGTTTAAAGATAGATATGAGTTTCTGCACGGAAAAATCATATGGCTATATAGGAAAAAATGACACTTAATTTCAATATTTGTTTACAAATAAAGATTTTACAGTTATGAAAAGTCATAGAAATATTTCACAATTAGCATAAAAAACTGTACACATTTACAAATTTAACATTAATTTTTTTTTACCAAAATTAGACCTCAAATTAGTTTTAGACAATGTTTTTCAAAAAATGTGTTTTTATATGCAATAATAGGGGAATTTCAAATAGAGGAAACACTTTTGACCTCAGACTGTACACAATGATTAATTGATTATAAGCATTGTTTCATGCTGCTGAAAGTAACTGAAAGAAATCAAACAATTGTCGTGGATTGAGTAGTAATTGTATTTTCCAAGATATTTGATTTCATGGTTTTGCAAAAGTTTGCTTATAATCCTATATAAAAAATATACTTAGTTGAAAATTTTAATTTGTAGTTAACCCATACTGAAATTGGTATCTAATTAATAATAATGAATACAATGTATTAAATTTGACATGTGGTAGCTATTATTTCTTACATTTGCCTGAAAAATTAAATGACAAAGTCATTAAAAATTCAATGCATGGTGACGTTTAATAGAAAGTGCTCTCTAAACTCCTTATATCCTTATGCCTGGAATATGTATGAGGAAACAGTAAACAGTTATACAAACTTTTCTATTCTTCTGTACAATTGAGTCCCATTTATCTACAACTTCTTTTGTTTGACCATATGCTACACTTCTCTCTAGCTGTAAGTATACAAATAAGATATTTAGGAACCATCCACAACATTATACAATGAATAAACTGCAGAATACTCTTCAACTGATGTTGATCACATCACTTTCTTTTCAAAATATGAAATCATTGTTGCTTGACTATTGATGTAGATTTGACGAGAAGGAAAACATAATTTTCATCATACATTATTTAGAGAGATTATAAAAAGTAATTATTTTGATTAATTGATTGTTGGTGTTTAAAGCCACTTTCAGTACTATTGGCTATACAGTTGTGGTCAGTTTTTATTGGTAAAGGATGCTGGAATGACCGGAGAGAACTACAACCTTTGTCAAATAAACAGCTGGCCATGAGCGCATGATACGCCCGTAGCATTTTTTAAGAGTAAAGTTCAATAACTTCTCAATGTCATATATGAAATTTGTGAAAAACTAAAGGGAGGTTATCTTAATTAATATAAACCAGTCACCAAAGTTTAATGAACTGCTCAAAACACTTTAAAGGTATTGTCCGAAAACTGGAAAATCACCCCTTTTTTAAGAATAAAATCCCATAACTCAAAAATTTATAAAAATTGAAAGGGAGCTTACATCAATATATATATACAATTTTCCAAAGTTTCATGAGAACTGCTGAAAGCATTTTTGAGTTATTGTCCGAAAACTAAAAAATCCGCCCTTTTTTTTTAATGAATAAAACTCCATAACTCGGAAAGGTAAAATCTAAAATTTATAAAAATCAAAAGGGAGCTCATGTCAATAGATATAAACAATTGACCAAAGTTTCTTGCAAATTGGTGAAAGCATTTTTGAGTTATTGTCAGAAAACTGGAAAATCACCCTTTTTTTAATGAATAAAACCCCATAACTCAGAAACGTAAAATCTAAAATTTATAAAAAACGAAAGGGAGCTCACGTCCATAGATATGAACAATTCACCAAAGTTTTATGCAAACTGGTTGAAGCGTTTTTGAGTTAATGTCCAACATGTTGACGGACGGACAGACGGACAACGGTATACCGTATAAAACTGATAATACCTAATTGAGAATAGAAAAAAAACGCATCTGCCATATGAAGGGTCGAACTCACAACCTCAGTTTTGACAGTCTAGTGAAACAGTAGATGATCCAATAAGACCACTCTGCCAAAAAGGCCCCAAAGAAATTATTATTTCCTATACTTCAATTATATAATTTAAACATGTATACCTTTTCTTTTTGGTGTCTAGGTAATGGAACAGACACAACTTGTTTACTGTCCTCTACAGACTTTAACTGTCTCTTTATCTTGGATGATGATAGAGTTCCCATCAACTCAGAGATGTTAATTTTACTAGCCACTGAAGAAAAGAATCATGATGATTGATTGATTGTTGTTTGCTTAACATTTATTGGCTAATATTTCATGCATAGTTAGGATGATAAAAGAATAAAAGAAAAGAAATCATGAGATAACTTTTTACATTCTATCCAATAATTTGGTGATTTTGTTGACTTTTTCACTAAACTAACATAAAATGGTGATATTATCTTTCCTTTTTATCATAGCTAAGACACAAAGGAAAGAAGAAATGGCAAAGCCTGAGTTTTGTAATAGAAAAACAACCAAAAATTAATCTTCTTAATCTATAAAATAGGATCAAATATTAAATGCAATTTGTGCTGATCTAAAATTGAAAATGTGATGTCAAAAACTAATTTGGAGTCAGTATTCAACAATAAAAGATACTTATTATTAAATTCTTTTATTTGTATTGTTATCACATTCTGTGGTAGGAGAAAAATTTGCCATTTCAAGGGTATTTATTTTGTGGTTATATCATTTGCTGTATTCAAAGTAACTAAAACTTGTGGAATTCCCCTTACCATGAAATCCAAGAAAATTGTTATCCCATTCCCACGGATATAAATGAACACACAGTATTTGTATTATTGAGCCTAATATATACTTACCAGTCTGCGCTGTAAAATTGAACTCAGATATCTGTGAAGCATGAACAGTTCTCTCATGTAATCTTGTCCTAAAATAAATGTAAAAAAAAAAATGGACATGTTGTCATGCTAAGACATTCCTCTCTTATATCGGAAAACATTTAGATATTTGAGATCTGGAAAACACTAATTTGTTACAACTGATTAGTTAACCCACTAACCAAATTTGAATTCATTCTGTTCAGCAGTACTGGAGAAATGTGTGACAATAAAAGTGTTGTTCCTTTAATTTTGGTTTTGTCAAATGTGACTTTGTGTCATTGATCCTTTCATATCCACTAAACATTAATCCTTCAAGTTTTGAGCATGCAACTATAATTCTATTTAATTTTGTCATGAGATTTTGTGTAATTGATCCCAACTTTTATACTATTTAAACATTAACCCTTCAACTTTTGAGTATGTATTTGACATTAAAAAAATAAGGGAGATAACTATAAGGGTATTTCAAAACTCCATACTTTTTCTTCCCATCCAAAGATGAAATGGCATCCAATAACTTCAGGTGATTTCTGTCATCTCCATCCTGTCAATGAGAAAATATACTGGTAATAAAGACTGAAATCAAATTACGGTAACTCAATATAGAGACAACACAATTAATGTCATCTTTCAAAAAGTATCATTTGTTGTATTATCTTTGCTTTACAATGTGTTGTTTTTCCTTTGGATCCCCCTTGCTTTATAATATAACTGGCGGATAGTGATGGGGAGGATCAAGTAAATAAGGAAAATGTGATGCAATCTTAAAAGAATCAGGTTTATTCCATTTAAATTAAGTTAATTATACACAAGGAAGGCAGAAAATTTCCTAATGCATCAATCCATTCATTCGCAAACTCTAAAGGGTTATAAAGTCAAAAATTCTGAATGATTTTTGTACATATGACAGGGGTGACTAAATTGAACTAGGTTTTTGAAAACAATTTTCAATGTAGAGTTTTCTTCATCCTTGTTTATTACACACCTTAGCTTCTAGTAATGTTGAATAGATGTCATAGATGTGACAAGTTTCACTTCTTAACTCCAAGAGGTTTTTAAGTTATAAAGTGTAAGGTTTTTTAGACACTATGTACAGGGGTGACTAAGTGGGACTAAGGATTTGACCATATGTACAATTTTCTTTTTTGTATGCAACACACCTTCTAGTCATGCTAGTAGTGGTGAATAATCATTCAAAATTCAATAACCAATCTGTAAGGGGTTTTAAGGTTTGTTTAGAAAACGGAAAGATTTTCAGATAGACAGACCAGCTGATTACATGTTCTATCATGACTATAGGCCTTCTATCAACATAATCAAATAATCATTGGGTACAAATCATATCCCCACTGCTTTACATTGTTGTTGTTTTTTTCTGTTATTCTAGATTTCAAAAGATTTATCATATACTTTCAGTTATATTGCTCTTGAAAATTTCTGTTTGATTGCCATCATGGCCATGGTGTCATAAGTTATAATTTCTATTATATTGTCCTTTTTCAAAACGCTTTCAATTTTTATAGTATTGATATTTGATATACAATCTTATGTTAATAATTTTGCTTTCAAATTTTGTTACATGTACATGTCTATTGTTCTTGCTGCAAAATGTTATGATTTTCGAGATGCAGATCCAGGATTTTGAATGGGGGTGGGGGCTAACCAGATAATGCGCCACTCCCCCTAATTCCGTCTCTGTTTTCTGTTGTACTTCCTGTTATATTTACCTCATCTTCACTTGCACTAATGTCAGCTTGTTCTTGAAACAATTCCATTTCTACAAAAATCAACAGATTGGTTTCAGTAATTAACAAAAGATGTTAATTCTTTATGACAGGTAAATAACAAATAAGGAACACACATGATGACTCAATCATTTAAATTACTCCTGGTGATTTTCATGAAGAACATTGGTGATTAAGGTCTTATCCATTTGAACATCATTTCGTTCCTGCAGGTGTAAAATTAAACTAAGTTGGGTTAAATCTTTTAAGATGCCCCCTTTCAGGTAATATTGTAATGATTGACATGAACAATTGATATCTACACAACAATAGGTTTCGATATGAAAAATAACTGCAAAAAAACCGATGTGCACATTGCTGCATCACTCGTTTGTGATGGCTGCCTAGAGTGGTTTCACTAAAAATGCATCGGACTGAAACATGTCCCAAAACAACATACTGGATGTGTAGAAACTGCCATTGTAAATAGAAATTTAAAAAATTGTATGCAATATTGTAAAATTCAAATAAAAGTTTTCAAGTTTTATTTTAAAACATATTACTAGTCAAAGCATACATTGAAGTGCATTAAAGTAACAATAACACAACGTAACCGTAGACACAAATATTATTGTTACATTCATAATTAATCGGTTCCTTATCCAACATTGCATTCCGGCAATTAGTCTCCAATGTAACAATAACTTTTTTATTATTGTTACATTTCAATGTAGCCAGTGCCTTCTTTTTTGACCTTCTGCAGGCTTAAAAAAAGGAATCTCAAATTCCAGGTGTTCTGAAACATGAGAAGCATTCAAATTTTAATTACCTAGTTCCTGTCATGTCTTAAAACTTTTCTAGGTGCACAGGTTTGTCTGTACACATAATAAATTCTGTGGTGTAAACCAGGGGAATATAAGTAAACAGTCATATTTTTCAATTCCTTCTGATGAACCTTAAGGTTCATCTATACACTTCAACAAAAATGGCTGTGTTTACACCATGAAATTTTCTCTGAATGCAGACAAAACTGTGTAATTCTAATAGTTTTAAATCCTGGCAGCACCTAGATATATACAAGTTGTATTCATTTTGTGTTATAAAAAGAAAAATACTTTTATGTATTTTGCTAAACATTTTCTTTCCTTGCCACAGGTGGTGTAAAAATAAACAAAGTCATGTGAAATCTTTGAGATGGTCCCCCTCAGGTAACATGGGTAATGATTGTATTGTATCATATTGATTGATATGGACAATAGAGGGATAATAGAAATCTACCCACAACAAAGGTGATTTCAATAGTGTAAATGAGTGGACTGTATCAAAGAAAACTCAGGTGTTTGTTTATTTCACCATCATAGGTGCTGCCAGGCATTAACACTTTTAAAATTACACAGTTTTGTCTGTACTCAGAGAAAATTTCATGGTGTAAACATAGCCATTTTTGTTAAAGTGTATAGATGAACCTTAACTTAAGGCTTAACACTTTTCCAACTGCACAGGTTAGTCTGTAATCAAGAGTAGTTTTTGAGACAGCCATTTTTTGCCCATTTGTTATAAAGAACCTTTAATTATTAAATGTGTTTAAAAATACCCTTTTCGTGGTTTTAATAAGGTATAATATATGAGACTTCAGACTCAGCTCCAAAAAATAATTTCCATGTGGCGGAAGTAGTATAGAATGTATAAATTACAAACCAATTTCGGAGGTCTAATCCGGGTCTGTTCGTTGAATTTATGATTGGAAGATGTCGCTCATACCAATCCCACACATCATTTTTTATACCTTCCTCCATCGAAGGAACCACCAAATATAAGCCAGGACCATTGGACTGGCACCCGGGACTAAGAATAATGACCTTAAATATCGAAGGGGTAAAATCAAATTTTGACTATCTCAGAGACATTGCTAAAGACCATAATCTTATTACATGCCTACAAGAACATTGGCTAAGGGGACAAGAAACAAATTTCTTTGAAAATCATTTTCCTCTTCATACCATTTTCTTACGTTCTCACGACGACAACGATCCCATACCAAATTTTAAAGCACGCAGAGGACAAGCAGGTACAACAATCGGCATGTGGCCTACCTCTCTAAATAAATTTATTCACAAACTTCCAGACGGTAATTAAAGAGTAATGTCTATAAAGATAGAGCTAGAAAACCATACAGTATGTCTCATAAACACATACATGCCAACCTTTGGACAAAATTCACAAATAGGCTATAGAGAACATCTAGACATAGTGTCACATATAACCGAAAAATATTCAGAACTGACTCATATTCTCTGTGGTGACCTGAACGGAACGTTAAAACCATCAAGGAAAAACCTCCATGATAAACTCCTAAGAACATTCCAAACTCAAGGTAAATGGATAAAGGAAATCATTTGGATAACGATACTTTCTTCCTCCACAGCGGGTTATCATCATCTCACATTGATTATATACTGACACAAGATTTGGATATACTAGATAAACTGATAAAGTTGTCAAAGAAAATACCTCTGGAAACAATCTATCATCTCATGTTCCAGTTTTTGGCGTTCTGGCAGCAAAAATACAATCTAATAACATTCAAAAAAGTTCAATCTCAGGGAAAAAGTTTAAAATTGAATGGGATAGGGCAGACTTAAATAAGTAAAAAGCAAAATTAAAAGAAAGAAATTCTTAAGGAAAACCAATCACCGAATTTAACCTCTACCGAACTGGTTGTAAATTTAATATACTGTATAAAAAAGCAGAAAAAAATTGCTATACCGTCTAGGATCATAAAGCTGAATGGCCCAAAGCTGAAGGTCTCAACTGAAAACAAAAATTTGCTAAACATTAGTAAACAAAAACATAGGATCTGGGATATTGCTGGTCGAAAAAGAGGCTCAGGTGATTCCTACAAACAACTCAAGGAAGCTAAATATAATGCCAGGAAAATGATCCGGAAGGAAAGAGCCATGGAAAGGGAAAATTTTTACAGTCAATTAGAACAGAAACCTTCATCAAAAACCTTCTTTCAACGTATAAAAAAATTTAGGCAATAACAAAAATTCTGTAACTCAGGTTATTCGTCATGAAGAAAAAGACATCACTTGCCCAGACGAACAAAGAGAAGTTCTGGCCGAATATTATAAAAATCTAGCCACGCCAAAAACGACAAAAATTTAATGAGGAATATCTCCATATGTGCCTGTTCCGCTGCAATATAATTAAGGAACTCTCAGAAAATAATCTTGAAACTAAAACTAATTTTACAGAGGAAGAAATTATTCAATCTATTCAAAATCTTAATTCAGGAAAACCGGAGATGAATATGGCCTATTTGCAGAGCATTTGAAATTAGCTGATGAAGTAATCATTCCATATATTCAGAATCTTTTTAATCAAATATTAGTTGGCAGAAAAAAAATCAGAACAATTTAAATCTGGCATAATAACACCAGTTTGTAAAAAGGGAAAAGACGGCAAAATAATGGATAGCTATCGTGGTATAACAGTTTCCTCTGTTCCAGGAAAACTATTTGAACATGCACTTCTGGAAAAAAATATAGATCCAATCTCAAATGTATCATCGCAACAGTTTGGTTTTACCTCTGGTTTCTCCCCCACCGTGGCTGCTCTACTGATATCTGAGGCACATATGAATGCAAAAAGGATGAAGGAAATTCTCTTCTTAACAGCATTAGATACTCAAAAAGCTTTTGACGTGGTCAACCACAGCATCCTTCTTGATAAACTCTTTCAAAAAGACATTCCACCTGAAATTTGGGAAACTATATACGAAATGTACAATGACCTTACTTCATGGGTTAATTGGAAAGGCCAACATAGTAATAGCTTTCCAGTACAACAGGGAGTCCGTCAAGGTGGTATCTTGTCCACCCATCTTTATAAAATATATATTGAATAAAATTGAGAATGGAAATGGGGAATGTGTCAAAGAGACAACAACCCGAACATAGAGCAGACAACAGCCGAAGGCCACCAATGAGTCTTCAATGCAGCGAGAAACTCCCGCACCCGGAGGCGTCCTTCAGCTGGCCCCTAAACAAATATGTATACTAGTTCAGTGATAATGGACGTCATACTAAACTCCAAATTATACACAAGAAACTAATATTAAAAATGATACAAGACTAACAAAGGCCAGAGGCTCCTGACTTGGGACAGGCGCAAAAATGCGGCGGGGTTAAACATGTTTTTTGAGATCTCAACTCTCCCCCTATACCTCTAGCCAATGTAGAAAAAACAAACGTACAACAGTACGCACAGTAAAACTCAGTTTAAGAGAAGTCCGAGTCCGATGTCAGAATAGGAAACAAAAGAAAATAAACAAAATGACAATAATTCATAAATAACAACAGACTACTAGCAGTTACTGACATGCCAGCTCCAGACCTCAATTAAACTGATTGAAAGATTATGTCTTCATCATATGAATATCAGGCACAATCCCTCCTGTTAGGGGTTTAGTATTATACCATCATAAAATATATGAGAAGAACATAACCCGTGTCATGCCAACAACTGGTTTTAGAATAAATATGTTTAATTCCGATGCAAAGACCCTATAAGTGAATCAATATTAAAGCCAAAATATGCAATCTTTAATGACCTGACAACAGTATCGTAACTATATCCCTTCTAATAAGTCTGTTTAAAGGTTTTGTTAAGACAGTTAGAAGACTCAAATATTGGTTTACATCTAGGCACTAATTATGCAGGATGTCATACGTGTTCAGATGATATCCTACTCTTATCTAACTCGGATGAAGAAATGCAAGTCATGCTCAACGTAGTAGATACATATTCGAAAGAGCACCAATATATTAAATATCCACCCTGAAAAGAGCGTTCTCATAAAACAAAATTAAAATTCCACAAACTCCAGCAAAACATCCATATGTTCTTGGTCTCTTGGGGACAGGTCCGTTTCAGAGACAGATAAGGCCTCACATCTTGGTATTTTAAGATCATCAAAAAATGAAAATATAATAAATGTGAAAGACCGCATTAGTCTAGCCCGAAGAACATCATATTCACTGATGTCAACAGGTGTACATGGCTTGAATCCAAGGATTTCCTATAATATTTATAGAATTTAAATATTACCCCGCCTGCTGTACAGTCTCGAAGTTTTACCTCTTACCACCGGCCAAATCAACGCCTTGGGTGACTTCCTCTTATCCTTCTTAAAAAATACCCAGGCCCTACACACAAGAACAGCTTCAGTTGCAGTATACTCACTACTAGGTGCCCTCCCTATAGAGGCCGAGCTTCACAAAAGACAATTAAGCCTTCTGCATTCAATCTTTGCGTCAGATAATCAAAATCTAAGGGATATCTTGTTGATATTCCCGGGCTTGTATTTTCTATCATGATTTCCTTGATAGAGGATTGCTGCTCACAAGGAAGCTATTAAACAAAGAGTTCCAAATGGTGAAGTCGAAATCATCCCTCCGTAAATTTTACGGACGCCATCACGAGTTGGTTGACCTTATGGAATAACCGTTTCACAGATGATATCGGATATGTTCCTTATGTCGTAACTACAATACCCTTCCCTTTTCACGAATGTGACCTACCGAATTAGACTATTTACCGGACTTGTAATAACATAAGCAACACGAAGGGTGCCACATGTGGAGCAGGATCTGCTTACCCTTCCGGAGCACCTGAGATCACCCCCAGTTTTTGGTGGGGTTCGTGTTGCTTAGTCTTTAGTTTTCTATGTTGTGTCATCTGTACTATTATTTGTCTATTTGTCCTTTTATTTTTGGCCATGGCGTTGTCAGTTTGTTTTCGATCTATGAGTTTGACTGTCCCTCTGGTATCTTTCGTCCCTCTTTTGTTACACCAGTACCGACTAGAAATTTGCAATGGAACTTTTCTACACCGAACAGAAAATGTCTTGCTTCAATATAGCCTACCAAGCATTGAAGAGCCTCTAGCAATTCTTCCAACAAAAATAGAATGGAAACAAACCGTCAGATATGCTATTAATACATTTTGGAGCAATAAATTTAAATCTTTAAGTAAAGAAAAATCAACCCTGATCCGACTCTGTACTGACACTATCAATATAGGGGAAATACATCCAGTCTGGAAAACAGCAACAGAAATTCCAGGGGATACAAAGAAAGCCATAACAAAAGCTAGAATACTAACTGGGACCTACCTCTTACAAGCAACTAAAGCTAAATATAATATAGGAAGTACAGACCCAATTTGCCCCCCTATTCAAACTTGAGGAAGAAAACCTTCAACATTTTCTAACTAGATATCCATCTCTGGAAGAGGTCCGAAGGACTTTTTATGCCCCATTAAAACAGGCTGTAATCAATAAAAATGGGATTGATCAATGGAAAACTAATTCTCAAAATAGGGAAACACTAATTAAGCCAATTAATTGTTGACTGCAGAAAACTAGTGGGTTCTACACTTCCAAATGACAGTAATTTCTTGATTAAGGTTGAATCAATTTCTTGGAATTGTGTGATAAATTACACCAACAGAGGTTAACGCAGATCAATGCTCTATCATTATAAAATTTATCATTCATCACATGGAGTTGAACTTCTTTACAATACTTTTCAGAGTACAAAATAGTGGTGTGTATAAAGATCAGTTAGAAGTGAGAAGTACATAGAGGACAGTTGAGATATAGATGTACTTAGGAATA